TATATACTGTATGTGTAGATAGATACTATAGATAGATAGATAGATAGATAGATAGATAGATAGATAGATAGATGATAATAACGCTCATAATTACCAGACAAACACCACTAAATGTCCATAAACTGTTTATTGCAATTGGCTAATAACTGTCAACAGTAAAAAGCGGTTTGTTACTGAAAAAAAAACAATAAACGTTGCCTTCAAATATTTTTAATTTTCAGTGCAATTTTTACAGCCAAATCATAATAGTTTATGTTGCAACCATGAAACGATGATGGAAAATAAGCATCCATGTGTGAGATGAGGCACAGTATATACCGTCATCCCTCAACTCTCCACTCATGTTTATAAATTGGCAGCAGGTTTTAATTCACTAGCCCTTTGTTCCAGAAAACAGCGTGCCACTTGCACTTTACATAGAGCCCATTTCTCAATCTAATTGGAATTTTACTCTTCTTCCCATGTATGTAAAAAAAGCCATTCGTGATTGCCTGAGGAATGTGGTGTCGCTCCATGCCATAGGGGACTCCATTTATAGTATATATACACTTCTGGTTTGCATTAGCTTTGAATTTATCCCAAATTAAACGTATTGTAATATGTGGTGATTTTATATGCATCCAGACAAAGACAAAGCAGATTGGTGCTCGTTGTTGGTTTGAAATAAATTGGAGGGGAACTGACACCATTCTTCCCAAACAGACTTCTGGTATCTTTCACAAAACGACCTAATTTCCATAGTCTGAGGAAAATATGCCAGTTGACTGAAAATCTTTATCTTGGAGGTTGAGTTTGGTTGTCTCTTGTCATTCTGATTGGTAAATTGTGACTTCTGTGAAATATATGTATACATATTTTTCAGTACAATGAAAATTAAAGTATAATTGATTGTTGTCCCTGACAGTCAATCCTCTACATTAGCAGTGTTAGAGACAACAGTCTCTACATGTTACTACCATGGTACCATATGCAAAAAACACGGTATTAAGTTAATACCACAATATTCTTAAGTATTAGCTAGCATAGTTTTTAAAGATTTTACATTCATATTTATAGTCATAGAATCCCCTGATATTAAAGATTTTGTACAAATAAACATGGTTTTATCATGTTACATGTACAAAAACATGGTAGAACAATGAAACCCTGCCCAAACTACATGGTATCTTGTGGAAATGTAACAAGAAATGAAACATGGTCCTCTTGAATGATTACCATATTCATTTTCCATTATTTAGTAAAGATACAATGGTTGTATTATCATGTGTACTTTGTGACTCTCTTGAAACGGAACTGTTTTACGCTTGGAATTATATTTATTCAGTATGCAAACTCAAGATTTCTCTGCTATTAATAGTTCTTGTTATACGTGCACTTTGTAAGTGTCCAGATGGTGTGGCAAAGCTCTGTTACTGAAGGGCAGCAAGGCTAAGACAATCGCAAACACATGAACATAGATATACTGTACATTCACTAACAGACATACAGTTTTAACAGTGAAAGGCTGTGATGTGTGAACCTGAACAAGTGTCATGTTTATGTAAAAATTATGCTACTGTTTTCAGAAACTCACTGTAAACTGAAAATGAAAATTGGCACAAAAACATATATAGGCTCTGGTAAAACAAAAATTGTGAACATCATATTTTCTCTTTAACTAGGCAAATTATCCCATTTTAGAGTCAAAATGAAATCAGCATCGTCCATGTTTATTTTCCTGCATGTTCCTGCTCTTACTGTGATTGATTAATCTGTGTAAGTTATTTGAAAGAGACAAAAAGTTTGTAAAGTTGAATCAAAATATTATAACTTGAGTTTCAGCTGTCACAGTCTATTGGATAATATCACGGTTTCAACACTGATAATAAGAAATATTTCTGGAGCAGTAAATCAGCTTGTAAATTTAGCTTTGCCATTTTACAATAGGAAACAATTATTTTATTTATTTAGTTATGTATTAATTTGTTTGTTTTTAATTACATACATTTATCTTTGGGGAGCATAATAATAATAATAATAATAATAATAATAACAATAAATTGTACTTACTACTACTGCTACTACTTTTATTATTAAAATACATACAAAATCTTAAAAATCTTACCCCAAAGTTTTGAATGGTGTATAGTGTGTTGAATAGTGTAGTTTTGGTAAAATATATAAAAGTGAAATGTAACGAGAAAAAAAAAATCACATAATTTTCTAAATTTCACCACCTTTTTTCTCACTGTCCCCATCTGTCATTGTTGTATAAATGGCTTACTTGTAGTTTTACACTGAGAAAAGTATTTTAAGATAAAAAAATTAAACACTTCCCCTTTAATGTTCTATCAGACAGAACGAGCATTGAGGGGACATGGTGAACACGGAGAAGATGATTATTTACAGAGCAGGGAGAGCAGGAGGTGTGTCAAAGATTTGCCTGCTCAACTGTGCTTTAACACCAAAATCTGGCTCAGTCACGCAGAGCTAAGCACCTGGCGCCCGCATACGTACACAAACATAAATGTTCACTGGCGTCACGAGCATGTGCCGCATAGACTTTGCACCGTATGTGACCATAAGTCACCATTGCCTCCACATATCCCATGTCTATAATTTAAAAAAAGAACTTCACTTGCACATGAACAGTATGAATGAACCTTAATACATTTGGACAGAAAGCGACATCAGTGACTACAGTGCACTATAATGGCTGCACAGTGCATTATGGCAGAAGGCATCAGGCACTCATTTTGGCATAGTAATGGCACAGTTGTATTGCACAATATTGTATTTCAAAAATTAATACAGGCATATTTTGTATGGTTGGCAGGTGGCATATATTTATCAAAAAATAAAATAAAAACTGAAATATCAAGAAAAATTTTTACAATGTAAAATAATATTTTTCTATTTAAATATATTTAAAAATTTAATTTATTCCTGTGATGCAATGCTGAATTTCCAGCAGCCATTACTCCAGTTTTCAGTGCCACATGATCCATCAGAAATCATTCAAATATGCTAATTTGGCGTCTTAAAATGGAAATGATTCTCGTCTACACTGGCGTTTTCACTACGTTTCAGAAACGATCTCCGTCTACACTACACAACCGAAAATGCATGTCACATGACCATTCATGCAGGTACAACCATAGATATGTATAGGTAGATTCCCTATTATTTAGATGGCGGACCCTACGTGCTTGGAGCGGTCGAATGGGGATCTACCTATACATATCTATGGGTACAACAATGAGCATGCTGTTATTGTTTACACGGTCGTCAAGGATACGCAGAGAGAATGTGGGCAATGCGGTTACGACAGGCGTAACCGTAGCAAAAGTTATGCGTTTTAAATGAAAAAGCACTAGTCTAAACGGGGCCTAAGATCCTTTGATGAATAGAAAGTTCATTAAGTCTTTTTTGTCTTAAAAAAATAGCATAATAATATCTCAGTAACACTTTAGTATAGGGACCAATTCTCATTATTAACTAGTTGCTTATTAATAGGGCTGTGCATATAATCAAATGCGATTGTCATGCGCATCTCGTCAGTAAAACCGGTTCTGTGATTAGTAGTAAATCTCCATCACCTGCTTTCAAATGGAGCGGCATTTACTACACAGAGCCATAGTTCACTGACAAGCTACACAAAATCGCAGGCGATTCGTTGCTGATTAAGAATGCGATATTGCATAGCTTGTCAGTGCCTATTATTAACATATTGGCTGTTTGTCCAAAAGAGATCAGATGTGCTAAAACATTAGCTGTGCGTTTATTGAATGAGCACTGTGCAATGTCCGAACTGATTGCACTATATTTTATGTATAATCATTTTCTATACTTAACTGTTTTAAATTCATTTTAAACCTCTTAAATCAATTTTTAAATCATTTTCAAAGTTTTTAAATTCCTTGTTTTATTGTTGTGATTATTTTTTTATTATTCTTTTCTTTTCTTGTATGTAAAGCACTTTGAATTACCATTGTGTATGAAATTTGATGTATAAATAAACTTGCCTTGCCTTGCCTTGTATATTAGTACTTATAAAGCACATATTCTGCATGACCATATTCTAGACCCCTAATCCTACCAAATACCTAAACTTAACAACTACCTTACTAACTATTAATAAGCAGCAAATTAGGAGTTTATTGAGACAAAAGTCATAGTTAATAGTTAATAGTGAGAATTGACCCTTAAAATAGTTCTATGTGACAGGTTTGTTCAAATCCACACCTCTAAATGTGAGCAATAATAGCATGCTTTCCTTAGCAAGCTCAACTACAAATTGGTACATAAGGTAAGACTTATTTAAGCATCTTTTGCTATTTCACCCATAAAGATTGAAACAAGAACGGACGTATTTGGCAACCCTGACATGATGCGCACTAGAACTCTGGACTGTAAAGCATAACCATGCCATAATGTGTCAGTAATCTGACATTACCAGAAAACGTGTATGCTCTTGAGTGAGTCAGAATATGATCTCCTGCAGTTAGTTCGGGCCTCAGGGCATGAGTGGGTCTTCACCAGAAAAAAAATAAGGCTTCATGGATGGTTGAGTTGAAGAAAGTTTATTACCATGCAGAAGTGTCCTGGCTTGACATCGAAGTCACCATAGACCTCACTGCAGAGCATCTAAAGTCAAATAGTGTCTAATGGAGCGGTGTAATGCAAAGAGGCAGCTCTAACAGCACATCCCTTTCTCAACACACTTCACAGTCGGCTTCTATTACATCCAAAGCAAGTCTGATTACATCTGTTGTTAATCTGTGAGATCAGACCTGGCTTTGATGACACATCTCTGTCTGAGGGGAAATTAAAATGGCACAGATATGAATAGTTGTGCTCTTTGGTCGGATATTTGCAGGTGTCTTGCGAGAGGCGAGGAAGGATATTTTACCTGGTGAGCGTCTTCCCACTTCTCAAGGTTTTCAATGTCCAACATTAAGCTGACAATCTGGAAGAATTTCTGAAAAAGAAAAAAAAAAACAGTAAAAACAAAAAGATGGAGATTGTGTGATGAAAGAATGAAAAAAAAGTATATGTATCTGCTACTCTGCACTGCAAAAAACAACAACAACAAAAAAAAATATATATATACATGTATCTTTGTATGTATGGATTACTTGGGTTGTTACCGACATCTGGTGAACATTTCCTGTCAACAGCACCTTTAGAAATATATTTACTGAGAAAAATGGTGATGTGTTCAATATTTATTTTACCCGCTGTATATATATATATATATATATATATATATATACTTCTGCCACTCACAGATATGTAATATTGTATCATTTTCCTGAATAAATAAATGTCAAAGAACATATTTTTGTCTCCCTTGTTTGTTAGGGTTCTCTTTGTCTATTTCAGAACTTGTGAAATTTTGATTATGTTTTGTGTCATATTTATGCAGAAATATAGAAAATTCTAAAGGGTTCACAAACGTTCAAGCGGCACTGTATGTAATTATGAAATTGGCATGTCAAGCACTGATCTAAAGCTGTGTAATATACATACCATTGTATAGCCTCGGATTATGCCTGCGTGGTGTATATGTACTTTTTCTATTTATGTCAGATACAGAAAAGCTCTTAAAAATCTGTACAAACTGTGGAAAACATTAAAAGAAATATTGCCCGGTCACAGTTTTTGTCATCTACCCATTTATTACGTGTACCTTTACACACACCCACAGGCAAACACACACCTGCACGTCGTCAGGAGCTGGGATGTAGGTTGCTCGTTTGAAGGTGTCCGTCACATTTCGGAGAATCTCCACGGAGAATAAGAGGTCGCCGCTATAATAATTCTTACGGGACATTAACTCCAGGAGACTCCTCACGATCTGAGACATGCCCTCCCCTGCCAGGGTCCTCTGACCCTTCGCAAGATGTTCACGCAACTACAGGAGAAGAAAAAAAAACATTATTTTATGAACAGACACTGATAAATAAACCTCAGTAATAACCACAGAAGCATGAAGTTGCACCCTGGGTTTAAATATAAAACCAGAGAGATGCCAAATTAAATTAGCAGACCTGGAATTTTTATGCATTTTCTCCACCGCTTTTAAAGGAAAAAATCTGTGGAATTTTGTTCATTTAAACATGGTAATATATGCTAAACTATTTGCAGCTGAAAGAATAATTAATAAGTTAAAACATATGAACAAGCATGTGAAGAAAAGTGCACCCGTTCAGGCCTAAACCACAAACGCACCAATATACTTTCATTGCATTCATTTAAAACAAACGTAATAAATAAACTAACTTAAAAAGAAAATAAATAAGCACCTTGAAATGTAGATGCAGATTTAAAGGTAAGCCAGAGTGCAGAAGAACACGCTGGCTTTGAAGCTGAAACAACATTGATTTGGGTCTGAAGCAAAGCGAAAGCAGTTAGCAGGTATTGACAGCCGCCATCTACTTCCCATCTATAGTCACATCTACTTCATCTACAGTACTTCCCATCTATAGTCGACCAAGCTGTGAGCATAACAAAGTGAAAACAACTTCTCCCTTAGTGAATCAACTAGCAGTCATACGTCAGCAGACGAAGTGTTGACTGTCTAATGACAGAACTGTGAGTGCAGGAGGTGGCAGACAATGGCAATCAAAGCTAATTGAGCATTGTCTGATTACAATGAAGGGTTAGCGGACAGGTTAACAGCACAATCAACCCCGTCACATCAAGCCTTGGTCGAGACCGAATTAAAACCCACTCGGCATTATGAACTCAAAGTCAAAGGTCGTGGCTCAGGAATTAGAAAGAGCACATGAAGGCAGGCTGTTGAATCTGTTAGGAAGTAATCAATCATTATCAAAACACAACAAGCGATAGAAAGTACATAATCAATATGAAAGCTGTGAGATTTGTGTTGTTGCTTTTCAGACTTTTAAGCATTTACGGTAGGGATTATTTCAAAGGAAGCTTCTCCAAGTAGTGGTTTTCATTTTCTTTGTGTGTGTTCTAATGAGTGGGGACACGACAGTGGAATTGACTCTTTTTAGTGTTTTGCTGAGTGGTCTTTGCCGTTATTATCATTTGTGGAAATGCAGCAATGTTCTCTCCAGCACACACGGCCCTTTAAATACAATCCAATCTATCACTTTTCTGTGGCTTGTTATCCGCTCTAGTGAAACCACCAAACAAAATGCAAACAAATGCGTCCTCGCTTCTGATATGCATTCAGTGATGTACAGCTACAAATCTGGAGTATTAAACTTTTATTACCTAATATTCAGCTGCTTATCCATGCTATCTATTGAGCTACAAAATTCAGGGTCTGACAGTAGCAGATGGAAGTTATCAAATAAAATGTCAGTTGAGCAACTGAATTTGTCCCTGTATGATTACTCCCTTAAATCACGGTGTAAACTGCATTCACCCGTCCTTTTGTCTTGTTTTCCAATAAAAATTGCCATGCATCCTTGAAAAAAATAAAAACAAAAAAACAGAAACTACAATAAACACTAAACTAAACTAAACTAAATGTACTTTGAAGTAAAATTGCATGAAATATTAGGACCTGTTTTCAAGGTGATACATCTTCAATTTTGTAACTACGCATTAGTTTAATTTATTTAGCAATATAATAATGATAATAATAATAATAATAATAATAATAGCACTGTTAGTATTATTAATAAAATATGTATGCCATTAAATTAAGAATAATAACTGTATTATTATTATTAGTTTAAGTATTATTGTTAGTATTATTATTAATACAATTTATTTAATAATAATAACAACAAACTTGTATTCTTATTTGTATTATATTAACATTTATTATTATTATTATTATTATTATTATTATTACATCAAAATTATATTATTATTATTACAAGTAGTAGTAACATTGTTAGTATTATAGTATAGTATATAGTAGTAACAGTATATTTTGATAAACAGTGTAATGAGCAGTGTATTTTAATTAATTTAACAACAATTAACAACAAAACATCATTATTGATGCACATATTATTATTATTATTATTATTATTATTATTATTAATGCTATTTGAGAATGAAGCTTAAAAAACTCGATAAAAAAATATTATAATAATTCAAAATGATCTCTGAAAACAAGAAGTATTATCTTATATGTATGAAAAGATGGAATACTCTAATACAGAGCCAATTTCTAAATAAATCACACAAACTATTTATCAAAACAGTAACAGATTGCTAAATAATGTGCATAAACAAATTAATATTCATAATCTAATTTCCCCCCATTTTGTGACCTCACAGCACGTCATCCACATCAATGTACTCACAGATAAATGTAAATATCTATATTCGAGTGAGACACATCGGGCGAAGCTCGGAGGACCCCAGTAAGCAACTCCATTAGCGTCCAGCAAACAACGACGACTAGCAGATCCTACAGGGAAAGGGAAGAAAAAACAGATCATTATCACCATTGGACACAAGCAATAACAACATGTCAAGGTTTGACAGACACGTACTGTGATGTTCACATGCTTCATATAAAAGACTTCACTGGGATGCGGCATACGATAATGTCTGGGATAATGTCTGTTCTGAGAATGGTTTTGAGTCATTTTACACTGCTGTAATCTCAGTTTTGCTTAAACATTTCTGCCACTTGCATCATTCAGATCAAGGCCAATTAGACTCGACCGTGGCCTCACCCCCGGTACCCTCGCTGGGATAAAAATGGGCCTGAAAATCACACAGGGAACGCAGGCAGACGTGGAAAAGTCAAGCGAATCATTCTCTGCAGGAATTGTTTTTTTCTTTTGGGGGTTAGCGTGCATGACAGTTCGTGCTGGCCGGGATGTGGAGTTATGGATGATATAGATTACAACTCGCCGTTGACCTCATTGAACACTGCTCTGCGCTCCCACTTCAAAGACATCATTTATTAGGTCTTTCTGTTTTTATTAGGTAAAAATCACTGAGCGCCTTGGGTGTCTTTCTTCACTAGTATCTGAGAATTATTGCACGCTGTACTCAGAGGGTATAAATAACCCCAAAACACTCTCCCACTGTGCTGGGAAGGGTTAGAAACTCTTGAGCCAATTTGAAGAGTGCAGAACACTCAATATATAACATTCACAAAACATGAATGTCATCATGTACAAAACAACAATGTCAGTGTGTGACATTAAATCAACAGCCTCGCAAAGAAAGAAATGTGTTTTTTGTTGGGTCCAATGCAAGCTCTGCGGCAAGGTCTGACATTTCAATCTGCCAAAACCTTGAAAAAGACTTGGTATCATTGTTATATTAACTTTCTGTGGTGGCACATATTGGCCTGTAAACATCCTCATTAAGTTCTCTCTCATACACCACTAATTCATCTCAATGGGCTTAAGAACTGAATGCTGATTAACTGTGTGGAAACCAACTTATTTTGAGCCTGTTGTGCGATGTTGGTTTTGGAAGCTGAGCAATTGCACCGTTGATGGAGTTTTATGATGTGGTTTAACCGATCATAAAATCTTTTAATAAAGCTGCGTGTCACGGTGTGAGAAGAAACAAATGTATCAGAGATTACACTAAATATGGGGTCTTTGGCTATGGCCAAAACAACATTAGATTGTAGTTTTAGACTTTTATGTGATGTATGCGGTGGCGTACACTCTGAAGCTAATCAAGCTCGGATCATTAACTTTTCTTGATAGGTTTTAATTTACTAGCAATTTGTCACTTAGCTGACATTTTTATCCAGAGTAATGTACAATAAACTTTTTAGAGGAACGGTCATCCTTGAGCAAGCTGGGGTTCAGCTAAAGTGCACAATGGTCATGAATTAGTTCTTACACAAAAACTGCAAACTTTTGATTACTGGCCTAGATAGAGACTAAACCAGCAATTACTAGATCAAGATGAAGATTATTAGTGAATAATGAATTAAAGGGAAAGGTCACTCAAAAATGAAAATCACCCCATGATTTACTCACCCTCAAGCATCCTTGGTCTATGACTTTCTTCTTTTAGATGAATACACTCAGAGTTATATTTAAAAAATGTCCTGGCTCTTCCAAACTTTTTAATGGCAGTGAATGGTGATCAAGATTTCAAAGCCCAAAAAAGTGCATCCATCCACTATAAAAAGTGCTCCACACAGTTCTGGGAGGTTTGCAAAGGCCCGCTGAAGCAAATCAATGCATTTGTGTGATAAAAATATTCATATTTAAAACTTCATAAACTGTAATCTCTACAAAACAAGGATTTGTAAAGAAAAATGTCTGAGGATTTCAATATAAACCAAGAGGAGACTGGCTTTCCCTTGCTGTAAACAAAACTTGGTTCTCATGAGACTAGCATGTTCTCACCGGAGCTTACGCTATGGCTACTTCCTATTCCATCTGCTGGAACGCCACCCTCTCGTGAATGCACGTACAGAACAATAGATATTGCAGTTTATAAAGTTTTTCATATGGATATTTTTTGCTTCACTTCAGAGGGCCTTTACTAACCCCTGGAGTACTAATGTGGAGTACTTTTTATGATGGATGGATGCACTTTTTTGGGCTTCAAAATCTCGACCACCATTTACTGCCATTATAAGGAGACATTTTTTTTAATATAACTCTGATTGCATTTGTCTGAATGAAGAAAGTCATATACATCTAGGATGGCTTGAGGATGAGTAAATCATGGGGTAATTTTCATTTTTGGGTGAACTATCCCTTTAAATTAATCAAATAAATTGACAATAAATTGGCATTAACAGTGAACGATGACTCAAATGACTCAAATTGTCATCTGTGGGTTTTATTTAGTTGTTTTGGACCATAACAGCCATAGAAACTATGAACAGTCATTTTGATCTTCCTCAAAATATTAAACATTTTGTTCAATGGAAGGAAAAGTCATAGGTTGGAATGACATGAGGGTAAGTCATCTTCGGGTAAACTATCATTTTAATATTTCTTATTTCTAAAATGCCTCCAAAAGACCTGAAGTGGTGAGTGGAGAGAATGTGTGCAATGACGTACCAGTGGCATTAGATGGACACTTGTTGTATACCGTCTCTCCAGCTGAGGCTCTCTTCCACGTCATGGTTAATTGGTACTCATCTTTACATATTTCATGAGGTGCTGCACACAGTATGAACCAAAAGTAAGAGATTAACCACTATGAAAAGACTAGGATACATGTACAAACTAGCATTAAATATAAAGCCTATTGATGATTGACTGAATGCTCTCACATACAGTAGATAGATAGATAGATAGATAGATAGATAGATAGATAAAATATTTGTCTTGTTTCCCAGTATACAATTTATATTGTTTTGAATTCCCATAAACAAAGTATTCAATTAAAATATGACAAATCTATACTGTTTCACATGTGAACAAACAAACAAACAAACAAAAAAAATATATATATGTGTCTATACTGTTTCACATGTGAACAAACAAACAAACAAACAAAAAATATATATATATGTGTGTGTGTGTGTGTGTGTTTCCTTGTTTTCCAGTAAAATATCTAAAATGTCAACTGTTTTGAATCCCCCCCCCAAAAAAACATTTTTAATCAGTATTTTTTTTCTGTAAAAAAAGCTAAAATAAATAAACAAATGCTCTTGTTTTCCAATAACATATAGAAAATGTATACTATTTTGAATTCCCATATATTAATGAATATATTTCTTAATCAGTATTTGTGCCTGTTCCAGTAAAACATATCTTAAATCTATAAAGGTTTGCATTTCCCTCAATCAATCAATCAATCAATCAATCAATCAATCAATCAATCAATCTTCAGTATTTGTGTCCTTTTGTCAGTAAAAAATCTGACAAAAGGACAAAAATGTGTAAGTCTTGTTTACTTATGCTGAATTAAGTTTATTTTTCTTATCCATTGACACATAGATTTCTCATGTTTTAAATCTAAATTTAGTTAGGTTTGTGTCTCTAGATATTTCACTGAAACACGGACAAAAAATACTGATTAAGAAAATGAGTTTTTGCAGTGCACAAAGCAAACTCTGTGAAGATCAGTGACAGATACAGTAAGATACAACAACACACATCCCTCTCCAACTTTCATTCAAAAGGTTCTTCAGAACAGAGAACAACCCAGGGGTGAGATACAGAAGGGGACTGGTTTGAAAGCTGAGAGAGATGGAGAACAGAACCCTACCCTTTTCATCTAAACACAATACACCCCGACAAAGCTATTGGACAGATTTTTGTCTTCAAGTTTCTGGTGCCATCAAAGCCCTGTGCCCGATATAAGCTCTGCGGCAATGTCTGACATTTATTTAATCTATAGCCTCCCAAAGCTGCAGTCAACGGCATGCTTATTAAAATCTGCTGTTTGCTGTGCTGCTTGACACGCTGACAAATCACACATAGCAGCACTTTGAACAATTCCCTTCTGTCAAGAATGACCCGTCTTAATAGAAAGAGAGAAGAAATGGAAACAAAGGAGAAGAGAGAATGTTAAATATGGAAAACGAGTGAGAGAGGCCTAAAGGAAAACACACTGATTAAAGGAAAAGGGGGAAAAAAGAAGAGAGACAAAAGCAAAGGGCACTTTTTTACATGTAGGGTACACATTAGGGTATAAAAGTCTTATTTTTTAAAACATCAGCAAAAGCTTCATAATATATTGACTTTCAACCTCAGAAAAGCATAGGCCATAGACCTTTACACATGTTTGAGGCATACTGATAATTGGCTTTAAGACCCAATGGCTTTGTATAAGAAATCAGAGTTGAAAAAATCAGAAGGGAAGAAAAATAGAAGGAGCCAAGATGAAATAAAAAAAGAACACGCACCTGGGCACTTCTTGTCATTACATGAGCGTACTTCCTCTCCAGAGCCATCGCAAGGGTAACCCTGGATTCCTGTGCCTTCACACATACGGAACCGCCGCTGCCAACCCGAGTCACAGGTCTTGGAGCACAAGCTCCAGTGATTCCAAGCACCCCAGTTCCCTCCACCTGCACAGGAACAAGAAAACAAGAACCAAAAGATATAATTGCAATCATTGGCCATTTACACAATGCAGTTGTAATACTCTTGACTGGAACGCAGTAAAAACAAACGTTAAATGCCCCAGTGCTGTTAGACTGTATATCAGCACTTTTGGAAACAGGGTTATTAATCGTTAACTAAAACTAAAATTAAAAATCTAAAAATAAATAAATAAATAAATAAATTAATTAAATTAAATTAAATTAAATTAAATTAAATTAAATTAAATTAAATTAAATTAAATTAAACACAAAAACAAAAATAATAACAAAAACCCACAACAGAATGACAAAAAAAAATTAAATGCATTAAATGAAATGTAAACAGAAAATATAAAAATAATACCTAACTTAAAATACCAACAAATACAATAATAATACATCAGTGATTCTAAAATAACAGTATTTATAACATTGTTCAGCCAATCAGATTTGAGGCCCGGAACTAACTGAAAAGCACTTAAAAGTGAAGTGACAACAATATTTAGCTGCAGTGTGAATGTGGTCATAAAGCACCTGCATGAAGCTAATTTGCGCTTATTAATTATTATCAGGGGTGCTTACTGGCATATGCTGACACAGCAGCATATCTGTGGAACAAGTTGAGCGGTGCAGACCAGTAAATCTCTGCGGTTTGGTACCATAGACAATTCAGAGTGTTCGCTGCAATTAATTAGACCATGACAGCAAACAAATTGCAGCTGTGCACATAAACTACCTGTCAATTTAAGACTGTAAGCCCACCAGAGAGTAACTTACCCCCACAAGACGGGTTGGTGCACTCACGAGTTTCAGCATGCGGCCCCTTACACTCCGCCCAGCCATGAACCGACACACTGCAACGCCGCTGCCTCTGCTGAGTTCCAGAGTCGCAGGAAACAGAGCACTGAGACCAGGCCGCCCAGTCCAACCACTGCCCCTCCACTGCACACACAACCACAGGGAGACGCAGAGGTGAGAACAGAATAAGACAGTACGGAAGTAGAGGAAGGACAGGAAAGAGAAGGACATAGAAGTGAGGGACAGAATCAAACAGGAAACAGGCGGTCGGAGGTACGGACAGAGAGACGGGGTGCAGCAAGGGTCTGTGTTTGTCTATAGCATGTGAGTTTGTAAGTTCTTACTTACCCTGATACAAACCTGTGAGATCACTTCAACAAACCGAGTGATTATGATACTGATTAGTGATGAACCAGTGTAAATACTCAGCATTTTTCTAATCCAATGCATTTTTCTTTCTGGTTTCTTTTCATTTAAATGCACTACAATTTAATATAAAACTACATGGAGATAACTTAAAAAAAACTAATCGAAATGAGAAACAGATGTCATAGACAGATAGATGATAGACAGACAGACAGACAGACAGACAGACAGACAGACAGACAGACAGACAGACAGACAGACAGATAGATAGATAGATAGA